ATGACAGTTTCCACCCCCTGCCATTTAGGCTAACAATTTCATCAGGCTTGATAAAATTTATCTGCCAATCTCATTTTGGTTCTTCTGCCTTGGTTCCTATATGAGCATGTGCTGTTTCCTTAGCTTGCAGCACCCTCCCCCACCTCGTTGACCTCACGCACTCTTGTCGTCCTTTCAGAAGGGTCTCAGAAACACCTCTCAGGGAAGTGCTCCTCCAAGACGCCACTCACCGTGTGACATCTTAGCCACTCATCGTCTTGCCTCCAGATTCGAGCAGCTTAAGGACAGGGGCTCTGTCCTAATTACCTCTGAATCACTAGTCCCTAATGAAGGGTCTGGCCTATTTGCTGAATGAATATGGAGTAATTATGCCTTTCTGCAAGGCATGGGAACTAACATGGGACCAGCACTAACTCCGTGTCCTTAAAAAGGGACGTCCACAATCAGGGACGAGCAAACAACAGAAACAATCTAAGTGGCTCTGCCATAGAGGAGGTCTGAGGTCTAATTGGCGCAGGAATGCTCCTTGGGCTGCAGAATGTAAACTCATTTATGACCTGGCGTAATTGTTGTTCTTCAACGAGCTCACAAGAAAGAACTTGTGAGGCTTGGAGAACTCCGCTCGTGTGCTCTGAAAAAGCAGCAGGGGCCACTAGGGCCAAGGTCTGTTTGTTTTACTTTTATCAAGTAAGAACTAATTGCTAATGTTTCCTTCCCCCCTCCCCCCAAACAAAATAGTTTAAGGCCTAATGTACAAGAACCACATGGCTGAACTGGCTTTCAGAAATGTCAGAACTAGCAGCAGCCAAGAGTCCCACCCCCCCAGATTGCAAAACGTTCTCAATGTCTGGAAAGGAAAGCACAGTGGGGAGAGGCAGTACATCAGCACAAGGTCAGGTCATGGATGTCTGCAGTCACTCTACAAGTCATCAGGGCCTAGTGGGGCCAAGACCTACCTAGGGGTTGCCATACAAAGAGGATGTACTGTGGAGCGAGGACAGAGAATAATAAAAAACAAGGAGTGCAAACTCAGGCATTCCTGGGTTTCCATCCCACCGACACCCCTTACCAGGTACATGACCTTGGGTAGAATTCTTTACCGTTCACCACCTCAGTTTTTAAACAACAAAATGAGTTGTTTTGAGGACGAAGGACAAAATGTTTATATATGATATATAGAAAGAGCCTAGTACACAGAAGACAAGGAATACATGGGTATTATTAAGATACAGTTCATTCCCTCCAGTGGCCTGCCTTCTGTCAGTATAATAAGAGTTTTATCCACACGTTTCTTCATTCCTTCGGTCACTCATTCATTTAGGAAATATTTATTGACAGCTCACTATGTCTCAGGCCCTGTGCTAAACCAGACAAGGGTCTGCCCTCATGGGCTTTACCTTCTAGTTGGGCACAATGAGAAATAGAAATATATATACATAAGTAACATGTAGGGTAGTGATAAACGCTCTGCAATACAATAAAGGTAAAAGGGCTGGAGAGTGATGAGGGTGCGCCGTTTAGGTAAGGTGACAGGGAAGGTCTCTGATAAGGTGACAAGCAAAGACCTGCAAAAAGTGAGGGAACAAACCATGTAATGTGCGAGGATCTGCCCAAGGAGAGCCGTGCTTGGTGTGATGCAAGCACAGCCTCACGTGAACTCCAATCAGGATACAAGGAACCTGGGAGCCAAGGCTCCACGGGCTCTGAGGAGCAGCCTGCTTCTCTGCACCCTAGGCCCTCGGGCTCCCACTCTCCTTTGCACAGACCCACAGAAAGGACTCCTTCAGGGACAGTGAGGGTCCTCTCCCCATTTGGCAACCACCAGCACTACTGGTTGGTAGGAGCTCCTCAGAGGATCAGAAGTATGTGGGAGATGAGGAGCAGCCTTGAAGAGCACCCAACATTCTAATCCAAGTGAGATAAATGTATGGCAGGAAAGATGTAGAATGTTCGCCAGCCATCATTACAGGGTACAAGAGACAACAGAGCAATCCTTGACCATGAATGCTGAGGGGATGCAGAATAAGGAAAGATACGAAGAGAGGTGAAAGCTCCACTGGGCTTTGCTTGGAGTGGAGGTAGAGAGGCAGGGAGCTGGAGGAGGGCTGGTTATCCCAGGAACCCTGAAAAAATGAGAAGAAAGAATATGCACACCTCTACAGACAAAACTGTGTTGTTAAGAACTTGAGGAGCTGGAGGAGCCACTAAGTCCACCCACAGACTCCGAAGACCACAGGTTATGAATCTCTGCTTTAGTGAAAGGGGCCCTATCTCAGTCTTTAACTTCAGCTTCAAGGTCACTACCTAGAGGGCCCAGTTGAACTTGGTGACCATAGTGACTGGTGGAGATTTGGAAACTGCAACCATGAGCCCTGACTGTAACCTCCAGCTTCATGGAAGTTAAGAAAGGTAATGTATTTTAAAACGTTGGATTCTTCCTTTTTTTCTTTAGGCTACTAGAAGGTTCTCGACCCACACTGGCAACTACATGGCACATGCACCCTTCAGCCTCCCTCCACTGTCAGCAGGCATTGCTAACCCCCTGGTGGAAGCAAGGTGGAGCCTTCATCAACGTCCTCAGCACCGCACTCCAAAGCTACCTGCTGACGGTGCAAACAGATGTACACACCATCCCAGCATCAGCTCCCTCTTTATTTTGGAGATGGCATTAACCATCCACCGGCAGAGGAACACATGGTTTGATTTTTTTGTAAGTCTAGTAAAGGAATGAAGTCTATAAGATTTTTGCATATTTCCTCATCCTCTGTGAGTAGCTGTCAGGTTGAGGTTGTGGTTAGAAAAATCAATTTGTCCTTTGAAGCTAAGGGACTGATTTAATACTCCTTGGGTCTGGGTTCAGAGCAGGCAGCCCAAGGAGCCACAAAGCTTCTCAGTAACTAAATCTCAAAGATAAATCATGTGTGTGCATATGTGTGCAAATGCATGTGTAAAGGGTTATAGGGAAAGTCTGAAGGCAGGCAAGAGGCGATCAAGAAGAGAGATAAGAAGTGAAGTCCTGTGAGAGCTGAGAAATCATTCTGGTCTAAGAAAAGTAAAACTTATAACAAGTAAGTAAGCCAGTAAAATGCTTTTATTATTTGCCTTATTTGGACCTAGTGCATATTTCTATTTAATTGCTCCTCTGATTTTCTTGGGTAATAATTATAAGGCTAACTTTTCAAATAAAATAAAATTGTTCCTCTGCTCTATGCAGATTGGCTACAAAGCAGGTTAAGGCAAGTATCCCCAACCCCTTGTCCTAGTCAACTGATCTTGTAGTTTCTGTGTATGAGCTGGGTGAAGAAGATTGTCTTATCCTAGCTCTTGCACTGATTATCTGAGGATAAGTCACTTGGAAAAGTGGGTCAGTGAGCCTCACTGGGCCTCAGTTTCCTGGTTTATTAGATAAATATGTTTGACTAGTTAATAGGAGGGGTGTGTGTGTGTGTGTGTGTGTGCGTGCATTGGGGCAAGGAGAGGTGTAACCATCTTGCAGGATAAACCAACAATTAGTTTCAATATGTTCTATGGTGAGTCTCTCACCCTAACGTAATAACTAACCTCTCTGCCATTGGTCAAGGGACCTTGGCAAGGGTGAGATGGAAGGTCTAAAAAAAAACAATCATCGCAGTGTGTACGAAATCAAAGCAATGGCTCAGTAATACCGTGTAAGGGCTCAGGTATCAGAATGCCTTCTGATACCCAACATGATGGAGACCTTTACTTTGCCTACACTCACTGGGACTGCAGCCTCTTGGTCTGCAAAATGAGGTAAGAAAGCCCACAGATGAGAAATTACTTATTTCTTAAAAAAACAGCATAGAAAGTGTTAAAATTACTGAGAAACACATATTACTCTCAGGGTTTTTAAGTAATCTCTAGAAATTTTAAGATTCAATCCCTGACTTCCCAGAGGTTGATTCCTGCAAACCGCATTTGCGAGGATCATGTACCCAATGGCTTCAGGGTAAATTTGGCCCTTGGGAAGCACTGGTGGGAGTGTGGGGCACAGGGAGAAGACCGGGCATTCCTTCTCCTCCTCCCTCTTGGCATTCTTTGAGAGGTGTGTCTGGCAGTGACTCCTCTGTGGTTCTTCCTCCTCTTGCAAATCTGCTCTGTCTGTGGTCCCAGCTCCTGCTGAGGCAGCCCCCACTATGGTTCAAGCTCTTGCTGGGTGGCTTCCCCAACACCCACAACCTCCTCTCTTTGATCCTCCAGGCCTACAGCTAATAGCAGCAGACTCCTGCTATTGCTCGTCTCTGGACTGCCTCACGGTGCCTTCAGCCCTCCCAATCTTTGCAACAAATTCCCTCCATGGGACCACTTGGCATGGGCACTACCTTCCTGGCCAAACCCTGAGTCCCACCCAGGGGACTACTGGTCTCCAGAGAACAGACCTGGTGTTTAAGAATATACAGAGTCCAGAAAATGGACTTGCTGGGGCCGTTCTGCCTCTACTGCTGGAGAAGATCTCTCAAAGGTTTAATTTGCCAGACCACCTAGTTCTAGCAGCAACAGGCGTGTGTTGGAGCTGAAGGGACACTATATGGAGAATCAGAGAACCAGAACCCACTTTCCAGTCATATGACTTTCACTAGTACCTTAGAGATAAATGATCCTGTGGTTACTCATGCCATGGGGGTAAGAGTTCATCTGGTCTGCTGGACTGGCCACTAGGCCCAAACACAGGAGGGCATGGAAACGTATTTTAGAAACTGACATAGTCCTTGCAAATCCAAATGTACCACTATTATTATACGAGTCACAGCTGGCTTCCATAGAACAAACAGTGCTTTGCACTCAGCTTGGCCTGATTTTGCTGTTTCCACCTAATTTGTACTAAATGTACTAACAAAGGAAAAGTGCCCAGACTAGTGCCTGGCACTTCTCCCCAAGAGCTATGTGGGTCCCAGCTGTGAGTTGTGTGCTGGGCTCTCCTTGGCATCATGACAACATGTCAGTTTACCTAAGACAGCACAGGGAGGTCAAGGTCAACTTACCAATGTCAAGGACCCTCTGCTTTGCCGTATGCTGCCGGGAGTGCCAGTACTTCCAGTATTTCAGCTGTTCATCTCGGTTTTTGTCTTCACTGAAGACCACCATTACCACGCTCTGCAGAGGGGAGAACCATGCATCTTACTTTCTGTTGGGCGCCTCGGTTGCTTCCTTCACAGCCTCCACTTCCGGCAGTTCTACCAGAGCTGTGTTTCTATAAGGTTGCTTGACAAAAGCCCAGACAAGCTCAGCTGTACGGTTTTGGTGTAAAAACGGGCCCACTTAAAAAATGCTTGGAGAATGAGAACAGTACACAGAAAAAGAATCCTACATCATTTTTTGTTTTAAGTAGGCTCCACCCCAGCATGGAGCCTAATGCAGGGCTTGAACTCACGACCCTGAGATCAAGACCAAGCTGAGATCAAGACTGAGCTGAGGTTGGACACTTAACCAACTGAGCCACCCAGGCGCTCCCCACATCATTTTTACCATGAGTCATAAACAACCAAATTAACTAAGAGCACGTTTATTGTTTTGTGAGGTGAGTGGGAATACCAAAAAATCTTTTTTTTGTACTGAAAACAAACACATTTTTGAAATTTTGTATTCTTAAATGTAGAATTTGGCACCTTTTGTAAAGAAGCAAGCATCTGTTTCTAGCCTAATTAAGTGCCTCAGGCTGAAATACGGGAGTAATGAGAAATACTAAGGTAATGAGTGAAATACTACAAGATGAGTTCATACTGAGGAACACAGATCTAAGCTACAGATACTTCACAGACCAAAAGAGACAAGGTCAACTATTTTATTTATTTCAACACAATTTGGATGTACTTGCTTGAGAAACTAATTACATCTTGTAGAAATAAGAATCCAAAGCCCATTTTGGTTCTAAATTATAAAAACCCTCATTAAACTAAATACACATTAAGTGGCTATCGCTTATGAGATGGAGAAGTTACCAACACAAACAAACCCCCAAAATCCCTACAACTGCAGTATCAGGGATACCGGCTCTCCTTCTTATTCCAAAGCTAAAATATTTCTTAGACATTTTCCTACTATTCCAGAATATTTCATTGACTCTCATTCTTTAATAACTTCTTCGTAGCATTTTGCACACTTGAAGTCATTTACTTAATTAGTTTTAATTATTCAGTTGACAGCAATGTCTTCCCATTGACTTCAAACTCAAAGAGGATAAGGACAGAGGCCCCGCTGCCTGACAAACAATAGATACCATATACATGCTTGCAGGTGTACTGTCCATTCAAAATCTGGCTTCTTCCCAAAGTATGTGCGAACATTTGTTACACAAGAAAGCAGATGTCTGTTAGGAAAACTAGTTTAGAAATATGTATCCGTATCATTCGAATTCACAAGCAGCGTGAACCTCCAAGGTATGGAGAAATGACAAGAAGGGGAACCGCTTCTGGGCTCACGGAACTATGAGCTACAAGCTCTTCATTCTTCTCTCCCCCCCTGCCTCAAACTTTGCCACTTACAGTTGCCCCCTTCCCCGTGGTTTCGGTTACCCACATTTGGTCAACCATAACCTAGAAGCAGATGAGTGCCTTCGGATCTATCATCCAAAGGTCAGTAGTAGCCTAACATTACGGTCACAATGGCCACATCATTCATGTCACTGCATCTCATCACATAGGTATTTTATCATCTCACATCATCATGAGAAGAAGGGTGAGTACAGTACAAGAAGATATTTAGAGCCCGAGGTACCACAGTCACATAATTTTTACGGCAGTGCATTGTTACAACTGTTCTATTTTATGACTGTTGCTGTTCATCTCTTACTGTGCTAATGTATAAGTTAAACTTTATCACAGAGATGTAGGCAGAGGAAAAACCATAGCATTTATATGGCTTGGTACCATCCATGGTTTCAGGCGTCCACTGGGGGGGCCCTAGAATGTATTCCCCACACATAAGGGGGCAGGGACTACTGTATACGTAAAAGTTCACTGCGTGGCCTCCTAGTGTTGACTTCTTTCTGTTCCAAAATAAAAATAACAGATAATTTTTTCTCTAGCCCATGACTCTTAGCCTAAGTAATGGCGTATTCTCAGTCTGTAAGTTTATGTCTTCAGTGAGAAGAAGAAAGGCAGTTTGAAAACGCTACTGTCGAGCTCACGTGCTTCACCTCAGAGTGGAACACCGAGCTCCAAAACCAAGGCGGTAAGTTCCAAGTGTGTCCCTCTTTCCTCCAGATGGCTCGCTCGCCCAGAGCTGAGGAGCAAGAACGATCCCCTCTGAGAGGCATCATTCTAACTCCCCAAGGGTGTTCGACTGAAATCCTTAAGAAAGGATGGCTGTTTTAGCCAAAATGAAACAGAGGAAAGAAAACGTCCGTAAGAAATTGTTTACAGGATTTCAGTGAAGCAAAATTCTTGGAAAAGTCTCCGTACTCAAAACTACTGTCACGGCCTCAGAAGGCAAACCACCCACCATCTTTTCAGGGTGCTGAAATGGTGCTGTTAAGAGGGTGTCTATGAGCTACATGCTTCCTTGTAATTTACAGAACTGTTTTTTAAAAAGTAGGTTTATCCAGAGTCTTCTTACCAGGCACCCACATGTGAGGGTGTAGGGGTGTGAAGTCTGGCATATATATCCAGAGGTGGATCCCAGGCTAAAATGCCTCTGGCTTTTAGCCCTCCATGTGACTCAACACAGTGTACCTTGGGGGTTAAGAGAATAAATCCAGGAATCTGACTGCCTGGGCTATATCCTGGTTCCTTCACATTTTAGCTGTGTAACCTCGACCAGTTACCAGCCTCTAAAAGGCCAAGTTTCCTCTTCTGTAATAGTATAAAAATAGTGTCTATTTCATAGGCAGTTTCAGTTTCAAATGAATTGCTAGATATATGGCACTTAACATAGTGCCTGGCACATGGAAGATATACCAATAAATATTACTTGTTATTTTGTGGCTCTTGTTGTTATTATTATGGCATCTCTCTGCCATTATTGCTGTTGTTACTATTATGGTTATTATTATTATATCCCTCCACCATTAAGATGAGGAGGAGGGGGTAGAGGAGGAGGAGGAAAGCATCCTTCCACCACAGCCTTGACCACAGGGTAGGAACACACCAATTCCCCCTGGCAGGCACACAACAAACCAGGCACCTTTCCACCTGCAACGGGCTCAGCCCTGGGTGGGACGTGAGCTCCACATCTTCCTCTCACTCTCAACTGCCCTGCCTCCTACAGCTCTGATCTGGGACAGGGACAGGCTTGGAGGGAGGAAGAATTGCTGGACTGAGAAATGAGCAGCAATCCTTCCTTATCTTTCTCACTGAAACAAAGCCAGAAAACCCAGCTGTCTCAGAGATCACCACTGAAATTGCTTTACCTAAAGCTAGTAACAGACAAGCTGGCCAGCAGGTGACCAAATACTCTTCTTCCTCTTCTACCTCCTCTGTTACCTTTGCAGGGAAGTCGGGGATGGGGGTAAACTCACTATGCTCTAGGCACAGCACGCATTCTTCTCAATGTGCTGAAGAGCTTAGGAGGCGGTAGTTATGGACAAAATAAGGTGGGGTGGGCACCATGCACACAGCGTGTAAAATAAATCATTGTACAATAGGGCAGGAAAGCCCTTCAACCTCTTTTCAGAGAGCTGTGCTATGATTTTCCATTTCAGTAGAGAAGGATTACCAGTTTCCTCCCTTGTTGGCAGCAGCAAGAATGCCAGAAGCTGGTAGGCTTCCAGCACAGTTCCATTTCCCACAAACAGAACTAACACTCACGAAGGTGAAAATTCCACCAAGTCAGTCCTGGTAGGAATCATACCATGCCTCACTTGACTCCTGAGTAAGCAAGCACTGGGTTGCAGAAGGCTTTTTTAACCAAGTTGCAAAGGACCCAGGACACAGAATAAATCACATCCTCCCATATGGAAGACAGCAGCAGCTCTTTCCCTGCCCACAAATAAGCTCTGACTTCTAGCTACTTGCTTGAAAAATTAAGATCAATTGACTGAAAACAAGAACAACAACTAGGTAGCACAAAGGCAATGAAGGAAGCTGGGAAAATTCCTTGGATACAGTCAGAAAGCGTGTCCCAACCATGTCCCCTCCCTGGCATTTATTGGTTACTGATTAAAATGATAAACTGTAAGCCAGTAAGTTTTCCTGCTCCAACTCTCTGACATTTGTTCTAGAATTATTTATTTTGGAATTTTTTCCACGCCCTTCCACAAGACTGCGAGGTAGCAATTGCCTTCATGTGATCCCTCTGCGCTTTATTTGAGAAATGAGGCTCATACCCGGACTTTGCTGATTGGGTGTCGGAAGCATTTGTTGTCCCCAGTCTCGCTGAGCGTTATGGCATAGAACTGTCCCTTGTTGAGGTAGGTCATGGGGCCCTCCCCCTGCTTCTGACGCAGAGATTTGGTGGCTTCCAGGGTGTACTGAAATGTGCCACTGTGAACAGAAAACAAACAGAGGTCAGATTGACTTGCTTGGACATTTCTGCCTTCCTAATCAATTTCACATTTGGAGCATTTTGTATGAATATTAACCAATATTTAGTCTACTTCAGAGACAAAACACAGCATATGGCAAAAGAGATGCGACCAGACCAAAGGTCACTGCTAATACAATGTATACAACATTTCTAATAGTGGCTCATAAACCAGATGGTTTAGAAGGGGAGAAAGTCCATGAGGTGCCTGTCCAATTATGCAAGGCTGTGCCAGGAGAGCCTGTTAGGTCTTGGATGGCAATCAGTAATGCCTGAGGCTTCAGAATTGATAGAATTTGCCCCTTTCAAGCTAGCAGCAAGCCAAATGTGTGAAAGCTTTTGTTCAATTCATACCTATACTTAACCCTCTTTTTGTATCACCAAGATGTTGCAAATAGCTATAACCCACTTTAAAACATTGCAGAATGTGGGCGCCTGGGTGGCTCAGATGGTTAAGCGTCTGCCTTCGGCTCAGGTCATGATCCCAGGGTCCTGGGATCGAGCCCCACATCGGGCTCCCGGCTCAGCGGGGAGCCTGCTTCTCCCTCTGACCCTCTCCCCTCTCATGCTGTTTCCCTCTCGCTCGCTCTCTAAAAAATAAATAAAATCTTTAAAAATAAATAAATAAATAAAAATAATAAAATAATAAAATAAAATAAAACATTGCAGAATGTGAAAATCTAAAACTCAGACATTCATTATTGAGAATCTAGTTCCTATAACAGAGATTGTTGTCTTTTTGTTTTCTGTTTTTAAGACTCATGAAAGGGACACTACTGCTCCAAATCAGGAATCTACAAAGTTTGATCCATTGGCCAAATCCAGCTCCCTGCCTATTATTGTAAATAAAGTTTTATTGGAACACAGCTACACTCGTTCATTTAGGACTTGTCTACTGTTACTTTCACACTACAACAGGAGGGTTTAATAGTTGTAATGTATAGTGTGCCAAATCTAAAATATTCACTATCTAACCCATTGCAGATAAAGTTTGTAAATCTCGGGGCGCCTGGGTGGCTCAGTTGGTTAAGCGACTGCCTTCGGCTCAGGTCATGATCCTGGAGTCCCGGGATCGAGTCCCGCATTGGGCTCCCCGCTCTGCAGGGAGTCTGCTCCTCCCTCTGACCCTCCCCCCTCTCATGTGCTCTCTCTCTCTCTCTCTCTCTCTCAAATAAATAAATAAAAATCTTTAAAAAAAAAAAAAGTTTGTAAATCTCTGCTCTACAATTTCCCTAATATTTTTAAAATATTACTTAATTTACAAAATAAAAACACTGATTTTCCCAATGCTGAAGAATGTATCAATTATTTAAAATAAACCACAGGTATGAACTACAATCTTTTTTGTTTAATACATTCAGAAATATTTATTTCTGCTACACTGCAGGATGGCTCATAGTGATAATCCAATAACCAATGCTTTGTGCACTTTTTTAATCATCAGAAGCTCTTCACTGGGCCTATTTTCTTAGCTCTTTAATTTCATAGTCTTTGAAAGACTGGGTGTAAAAATGCCTCAAAGTTCACCTCTTAAGATGGTCTACTTAGAAGATTATGGGAGACTCTTATTTTCTATGTTAAATATTTCTGCAACGTTTAATTTTTTGTAACTTTCATAAGGAGAAAGAAACTGGAAAGGCACAATAATATTCCTCTTTTCATGATAAAAACCGTACACGTAGGCTGATAAACTAAGCAAATTCCAGAATATGTATCTTAGAACAGGGTGGGAAATAAATCATTCAAGACAGAACCAATTTCACTGTCATTTTGCCTGGAAAAAGCAATTTCAATACAGCCACTGAATCATAAAATTTGAGACCTGGACAGGATATTAGGAATCACCTAGATCAGCAGCTTGCAACTTGTCTAGGGCACAGGCTGCGTAAAAAAAAAAAAAAAAAAAAAAAAAACAAAACAACATGAAAAGCTGTGAACCCTCTCCCCAGAAAAAAGCACATATGAACAGAAATGGTTTTGAATATCATTTAGGGGAGTTCATGCTCCCCAAACCTATCCATAACACAGGAAATAAAACCACCTTCCTCATTTCACAGGTGAGGAAGGCTGAGAAACTTGCTCACTCCAGTGGACAATGACAGCAGCAGAACGAGAAGGCAGGTCAAGTGACTGGTAGGTCAAAGCTCTTTTCACCAGCCTGATAGCTGATTACATGGTGATTTGGGTTTATAGCATGCAAGTTATATATGTATTTCCACATTTTAGAAGGTGATTTGGAACTCTATGTTCCCCACCTCACCCCTCCCACTCACAAACACCACACACTGAAATTCTGACTCAGATGATTGGGGGAGGATGACTGAGCTTGGAGCAAGATCCTGAAGGATCAGGAGGACTTCAGGTAGAAAGAGAGAACAGAGGAGGGCCACACATGTAACAGCAAAGGGGCAAGAAATACGGTGAGACACAAGGTTTAAAGTAAAAAGGGACCAGCACGTAGAGGGCCCTGACTACCTTCATGAGTAATTTGTGTTTAATCCTTTCTGAAATGGTGACATAACTGATAAGTTTTGTGAAATGGGAGAGATCAATTCATTTCTTGCCATTCTCTCCTGTCTATGGGCATGATCATGACCAAGGTCTTTGAACGTCTACCCCCTCTACCTAGAAGTTCTTTTTTTTTTTTTTTTTTAAGATTTTATTTATTTATTTGACAGAGAGAGAATGAGAGAGCACATGAGAGGGGGGAGGGTCAGAGGGAGAAGCAGACTCCCTGCCAAACAGGGAGCCTGATGCGGGACTCGATCCAAGGACTCCCGGATCATGACCTGAGCCGAAGGCAGTCGCTTAACCAACTGAGCCAACCCAGGCGCCCCTACCTGGAAGTTCTTAATCTTCCTTCTTTCCCTGGAAAACTCCTGCTCACAGTCCTTCAGCATGTGGCTCAAATGCCCCTTCCTGCAAGCTTTGTCCCCCCACCCCACAACCCCAACACACACACAGAGACCTGTAGGTCCTTTCAGCTTTCTGTTTATGTACCTCTGTAGCAGGACTAACTCTTCACTTAGCAAATTGTATTACAACTGTCCATCACTACATTTGTCCCCTCCAAAAGTCTATGGGGCCTCTTTTAAGGAGAGGTTCTATCTTATTCCCATACCTCTCGCACTGCTTGTACATGGAAGGCACCAGAGTGTATTTAGCTGGTAGCTAAATATGTGTACAGTGGAATAGAAGGGAAAACAGTGTTGGCAGGAAGATCAGTTATATCACAACAGTTCAGAACCTGAACAAGAGTAAGTTGCAAGGGACAGGACAGGTAAAACAGAACATTCAGCACTTGGGAAGTGTGATGAAAATGTAGCAAAAAGTCAGGCAGATCTTTATACCTCCAGAGTGGGTAGCTGGAAGGATGGTTACATCATTAGCCACAACAGGAAATAAAAGCAGAACAGATGTGAAAGAAGTGGAGAAGGAAGCAAAGAAAAGAAAAAGAACGGCAAAGAATTCCATTTTTTCACATGCTGTGTTGGAGGTCCATGTGTCTGAGATTCAGAGAACCACCTAAGAAGGGATATCTAACCAACAGAAGGACAGAAAAAGGGCATAGGCCTCAGAATACAGGGCAAGATTGGAAACAGTAATTCAGAAGTCACGGTATAGAGAAAAGAATTTTCTTTTAAAGGTTCAAAAGTATAACTTGGGGGTACATTTAAAGTGTTATCAGTTCATTAGTTTCTAGGGGCATCTCCTGGTAGCTTACCTTGATGTCTGGTCATACATGTACTCCTCAGCCCCAACTGAAGCACTCCGGAATTTCTGCAAAATTTAAAAGTCATCAAAATTAAAACGAATAGGTAAGTCATCATTAAAAAAGGCAACAAATGTGCCCAAACTGTTTTATCCTCACTTCAGAAAGGAAGATAATACATTTTTTAGTATTGTGTTTTCAACTACAATGAAAATAGTTACCATTTGTACACAGAACTTGCATATCAGCTGCACACTGAGAATTACACTCAACAGAAAAGGCATTTGTGCTTTGCATATTATTCACATGTCCATATTCACATGTCTGCAGGTCTTCCAGAAGTGTCTGCAGGTATTGGAACCTGTTTCTTCAAACATATAAAACATCTCTTCCATTTCCTATTATCTCCAATGCTCATTCCAAAAGTCACAAATTCTGATTTAATGGAACACTGATTACAGAGAGACTACATAGCATACATAGCATAGGGCAGTATTTAGAGTAGCTAGGGACATAGTTTCTGGAGCAAGACTATCTAGCATCAAGTTCTGACTCTTTTACCTGCTACCTATATAAACTGAGGCAAGGGCCATATTTTCTCCATCTGTAAAATGTTCATTTACAGTGATTAGAGATTAGAGGCATAAATGTGTTAATAGATATGAAGTACTAAGTACAGTACCTGGGACATAGTGGGCTCTATATGTGTGTATTAAATTCTATTATATAGTAATCACTTGACCATATTCTGTGCCCTTCTCTAAGATCGTCTTTATCACAATATTGTAAGAGTACGTTTTGGAGGGAAACTCTGAGTCCTAGTATTACACGCGATGAAGCTTGGATCCAGAGATCTCCATTTGTGATTTAGTGCAAGTAGGATGCACTTTGCTACATTTTAAAACTCTTTCGAAAGCAGATACACAAAATCCCCAACTCTTGATCCTAAAGTGAATATAACAGGATGAAAAAGCACTTGACTGACCACACACACCTGGTCCTCCCACGTGACCTTTTTGTAGTACCTCTTTCCAAGAAACAATTTTCCTGCCTCTCATTTCTCAGACATAAACTTCTATTCTTTGACTAGCAGTTCAAAGGTTTCTTTCTCAGGGAAGGGTTACTCACTGCTATTTTTCAAACTTTCTTCACAATCCCTAATCACCATCTCTAGAATTCACAGTTCATATGTACATATATATGACCTTCTTTTTATGCAGTTTTATAAATTCCTGGATCCAAGAAAATGGTTTGACCTTCAAAGTGCATCCCAGGAACATTTCATAAATTTTGTCGACCAGTTCAATAATCGTGACAAAGAATCTAAGATACAGATTTGTGTTTCTTTTGCAATCAATTAATCAACAAAGCATTCAATGGGAATTTTCTGGGGCTCCACCAACTGACTGGTGCCAAGAGAAATACAGAAAATATATAAAACACTGTCCTGGCCTCAAAGATATAAAAACTAGCTGAGGAGATGAGTACAGTCACATAAGCAACAACAACAACAACAAATGGAAGTAAAATACAGCAAATGACTAGATGTGAAAGTCTATTTTGAATCATTCATTCAGGTGTCCTAGCTGGAGAAGCACAAAATGGCCGTTGCCAGGGAAGGAAGGTCAGCAAGATTACAGGAACATTTCACAGAAATTGTGGAGATTGTTCTAACCCTTGGAAGCTACAGAGAAGCTGGATTAAATGAAGGAATTGAGAAAAAGTCATCCAGCGGAAAGAGGACCAACACGAGTCAAGACAAAATGATAGGTACAAATGTGGTATGTACATGGGACCAAGGACATAGGCCTGATTTGATTATGAAGAGAGGACCTAAAAATCTAGGCTAAACATTTAGTTCCTTAGGCAACCGGCTACGGTTTAAGTACCAAGTTGCCATACGTGGCTAGTGGCTACTATATTAGAGAGAATAAAGGAAAACTTCCATCACTGCAGAAAGTTCTATTGGAAAGGGCTGATCTATGAAAAGGTATTTACATTTAGTATAGTTAAGAATTAAGACATTTTGGAGTAGGAGGGTAGCATGATGAAAAGGGCATTTAAGGAAGAGATCGAGGAGATGCACTTCCAAGGTCTTCTTTGAAGGAATATGCAGTAACCAGAGCAACACATGGTGAACCAGTATTAGTAAACGTGGCCCTCAGTGACTTTATCGTCCATGCCACAGAACTCTGAAGCCTGAAGATAGGCTAGTCTACTACAACATAGTGGACTTATCAATTCAATGGTTCTAATCCCCCAGGTGATGTGAGAAGGTGCGATACACCACAACTGTTTAGATTCAAAGAGACTGTCAACTGTATGCTGACTAAAATAATCTTACTCTAATAACATGAGTGCATGTGGACAAGAACTATGAAAAAATAAAAATAGTAGACATGTTACCAATGTGGATATTGCTTTTTTCAAGCTTAAAATTTCATCCTTAATTCTTTTATATTGCCTGTGTAATTAAAAAAAAGAAAGTTATTCCACCTGGAAAACATCACAATCCTTTATGAGACCTGATCACATTGATGGGTCATATGGCCTACATGATTTAGTACTAAGAATCACAGTCAAAATGTTTGGGTCTTTCCAGTTACAGTTACCAACTATTTGGAAACCTTTTAATATAATTTGTAGGATGCCAAAAGCCAACATGACTTTACCTTACTGTAATTTGATATAATGCATCCATACATTTCTTCATTTGGACTGAGAAAAATGATAGTAAAGAAGGTATGATAACATATTTTAAAGACTACTCTAAAAGGACTTGAGATATCAGGCAATAGTTGAATGTTCTATTTAAATTTTCAATATTAGAATTCTAGTGTTTTTCTTGGGTGTGAGGAAAGAGACATCTGCTAAGAATCTACTGTAAAAAGACAAATGATTCTTCAGTTGTCAGAAAATCAGATATTTTCTGATTCCACGTCTTTGATCAGCCACCAATTTTTTAGGTCTTATCATTCATTTATTCATTCATCCACTCTTCCAGTAAAGACTGAGCGAGCCTCTACTTTGTATCAGGCAGCATGCTAGGTGCTATGGGTACCAAAGTGAACCAAAAGAGAAGAGGCCTCTGCTCTCATGAAGCTTCTGGTCTAGGAGAGGAAACATGTTACTTAAAAAGTCATTCATTAAAAAAATTACAAACTGTGTGCAAGCACTCTGGAGAAAAGCAACAGAGTCCTAGGACAGGAGAACACAGCACAACTAAGAATGTAAAAATCAGTCCCACTGTGGCACACAGACAAGGCCAACAGGAATGTTTCCAACAGAAGCCCAGAAAACAGTAACACAGCCACAAAAGTGAATAACGCGTTCTCCTTCTGAGGGACTGCGCTTTCTTGACAAAGACATCCTCAGTCCTGCTGTGCTCATCTCACCTCCTAAACAATGGCTACCCAGTTTCCAGGCTGCCTCAATATCTTCTCATATCCAGTCCAAAGCTGGCTATCACAGAATCCCTCCTTAACACCTACCCAGTATAAGCCCAAACACTATGAAGAGCTCCTCCGAACTCTGTCTTACTGAGTTGTCCCTAAGGGTCCCCTGCTGAAGCAGACTAAATAAATGTAATCCTGATTACAGAAGTGTTCATGGTAGTCTTTGGCTGGGATACTTAGATACAAAGAAAACTGACTCTACTAGGAACTGAAGGGAGGACAGGGAGGGCTTCCCTGAGAAAGTCACAAAGGACAAAGGGTATGGGAGGTGACGAAGAATATGCTAGAACAGTGTTGTCCAATAGAGTTTTGTGTGAAGATGGACATGTTCTGTATCTTCATTGTCCAATATGGTAGCCACCAGTCACAATGAGCACTTAAAATTGTAATTAGTGGGACTGAGAAACTAAACTCTTGATTTTATTTAATTCTAATTGCCACATGTGGCCAGCGGCTATGGCATTATATAGCACAGTTCTAGAACATGGAGCAGCATGCACAAAGGTCCTGAGGCAAGAGGAAGTATATCAGGTTCACGGAACTGGATGGAGCCCACAGCAGGGAGCACAAGGAGGAAAGAGGTACAAGATGAGGTGGGAAAGGCAAAGGAGAAGCAGAATATGCAATGCACTGTATACCTGTTAAAGATTTAGACCTTAATCCTAAAAGCAATAGGATTTAAGTGGGGGGGGGGGGGTGACAAAATCAGATAAGCATGTCAAAAACATTATCCCCGGTACAGTGTACAAAAGCAGGCAGCGTTTTAGGCCAGAGATAATGATATGGTGAAAACAGAATGGAGACAAATGGATGGATTTGAGAGATATTTAGAAAGTAATATTGATAGAATTGATAATGGATGATGAAGGGAGAGCAAAATATCAAGAAAATATCCTGGTTTCTTAAGAAACCAGGATGGTGATGCTACCCACTAAGGTGGAGAACACAAGGAAAGATTGTAAATCAGATTTGGGATAGGTGGAGGGTCATATGCAGTTGGATATAAAGGTTTGGAGCAAAGAGGAAAGAACTGGGCTGGAGAAAAAAATTTGAAAGTCTTTAGGATATACATGATAACTGAAACTGTGGACATGAAGCCAAGAGCATTTTTAAGAGGAAAGAGTGATTAAAGTATCAAAGTATCAAATGGTGCTGCAAAGTACCAGCTTTAACAGATGTGGGGTTTCCATAGCCATTTTATTCATGAGGTGGGAAAATGACTATTATGACTGAATAACGGGTCATCCAAGCTCATCAAATTTCACTACACATAGAGAAATCTCAAGCTTCCTAAAGCATAAAATGTATATGCTAAGGATTTCCCAAAATTTTGCTTGATGCAAAAACAAACTGATGTAATAAAATGATAGATGTCTGATGGTACCGTATGCACTATATGTTTAAAATAAACAGTAAAATCAAGTGCATTAATCACAAGTGACACTATGTTCCAATTTAGTACCTGATTCAACACTTTTAAGATTTTATTCTTTAATTTTTTTTTTATCTGAGGATAGTTGACACACAATGTTACATTAATTTTAGGTGTATAACATAGTGAGTCAACGTCTATATATGTTATGCCCTGCTCACCACAAGTGTAGCTATCATCT